CCCCCGAAAATGAGGCCAAAAGTGATTGATTTTGTATGTAACTGGTTAGCATTTCTGGCCGATGTCAATTGGACACAAACAATGTATGCTAGCTTATGTTTTATTCCAAGATTTACAATACATAAATACAGGTTTCCCATTGGCTGATTATTGCAGTCTGCTTCCTCATGCTTCACTTTCAGTCTCTCTCGCTGTTCCAGTTTTCAAAGTCTCTCAAAGCATCTCTATGACCAACACAAAGATGCTAAGCTAACTAATTATATCCTAATGATGAAAATTAGTATATATTTGAGTAGTCCTTTAATATACAGTATGGCTGCTAGTGTTGTTTTCTCTTTCTCACTCACTCCCTCACTTACACACAGCAGGTTGGTCTACTGACTCAGACCAGGGAAGGTAATGGTTTGGTCCAAATTTCACATCAATAACAGATGAGCCCTAATCGGCCCTCTGACACACACACACACACTGGCTTGCCCATTTGCATAATAGTATTTCCCTTTTTCTCCATTCCCCGAATAGCTCCCGATTTCTCTCTCTCCCTCTCTCTCTCTCTACATTGTCTTGTGTACTCCTGATGGAAAAAGGCTTGACTATAAACAAATACAATTCCCTCAGAGGCCCACAAACTGAGGCAGGGATTGTGGGGAAGGAATTCATCTGTGCTCAAACTGAGCGTGGCGGCAGTGGGGAGGCTATTCATTCCCTAACAAACCAGATGGACGTCAACACTGGGGAAAAGTTCATACATTTTTAATGAATAATTGGGCTAACAGTTCTATTTAATGAATGATTTATTGATTTAAATTTAGAAAATAAATATTAGTGTATTAGTGGCTTATGCCTATTTTGTTGTTTCAGAGTACAGAGTAATGTTCACATCACAGAACTGAAAGGGTAATTCAATTGCATATAAAGTCAATGGAAAGATGGAATTTAGGCGAGAGAGAAGAGAGACAATAGGAGAGACACTTGAGTAAAATACACATGGTTGGTATGTCCTTTGCTAGATAGCTTACAGCTGACATCTGTACACTGACTGTTATATATTACACCTCTTCTGATTTTGTACAATAACGCAAGGCAAAAATGTACCTCGCCTTCTGTCTGAACACCTTGATGGAGCTTATTCTTCTGTGCCATAGAGCTCCATTGATGTCCAGAAACAGTTAAAACACACTATTAGCCTCACAGTTGCATTTAGTGACATGTTGTAATAAACATGGGTGTTCCCACATACACCATACTGTCGTAAATGAAAAAGTTTTAGGAAATTACTGATTTTTAAATAATCGTTTTTATTTTTGCAAGTCAGAAAGTATTGAGAGACGGACTAACACATTTGGTTTTGTCTTTTCTTGGGATTTTTGGTTGAGTCTGTCAGCTTCCTGACCAATTTAACCATCTCCATCCTTTGACCTCTCTACTCTTTTTTAAGCTTTTTGGATGAAGAGAAAGGACAAGGACTTTCTCTTTTTATTTCTATATCCCAGTTCAGCCACACTGACTGGTGCTGTGGGCATTTGGACCCAGAGCAGCATGGATGGGTGGGGGCTCTGTCAGCCCTCCTGATTTATCACCTGGGTAATAGGAAGTGATTGAAGGGGAAATTCAAATGAACTCTCTCTGACAGGCACACATGCAGACACACATACGAGCACGCACACACAAATTAATAGTGGGACTTAATAGACTACAGGGAAAAGGGGAACAAGAGCAGGAGAGGGAGATGAGATAAAAGAATGGCTTGTTAGAGGGAGTAAAGATAAAGAAAAGGTCTCAGACAAACAGGATAGGAGAGTAACTACTGGTGACAGATAAAATAAGATTTGCTTGTGAGGAATGTGAGCAATTTTACTTTTTATCTATTCCAGTGGGATGAAGGAAGAATAAAAAATGAATGAGGCTCGTGTTTCAGTGCAAGAAAGCTAAAAGATAATAGGGAGCTTGAAATAACCGCTGAAATTACAGTATATTAGTATACCATTATAATATACTGTTGGTATCTGAAATTGAGCCACCTTGCACCTCTGTTTCTCTCTTACTTGCTTGCGCTCTGCCCTTTTTTTCTTTCTTTCACAAACACACACACTAACTCACACTCCTTCAAAGGCACCCCCACATGCTGCAACAGCACCACCACCAACAGCAGGGCCAAGTACATACCAGGCATCTTTTTTAGGAATGTCAGTCACAGCACAGCTTGACCCTCCTTGACCGTAACCCCACCAGCACTGCCTCTCTCTCACACACACACACCCCTCAGCCCACATACCAGAGAGGCTGAGCTGTAGCTGTCAGTGTGTCAGTGTTAGAGGGTATGACTGTCAATCACTCCCTCTGGGAAATGCAGGCTGAGAAAATGGGGGTGGTTGACTAGACAGGATGAGAGAAGGGAGCGGAGGTAGAGGGACAGATAGTGATGTAGATTTGTATGTGTGTATGCGAGTGTGTGTGTTGCTCTTTGTAATCACAATGCAGCTCCGGTTTGACCCCAGGGCGACCTGCAGTCTAAAGCCCCTATCCCCAACCCCAGTGGCTTGACCGGGCTCAGGGAGGACACTGACCTATGAATCATGGGTATTATAGTCTTGAGTCGTAGTCTATAGAGCTACTAGAGCCAATCCCTGTCGACCTCTCGCCCTGTGCCACTCCATTCCCCATGTCGGTCAGAGGGAAGTGAATGGGCTAAAAGGAGAAACTCTGCCCTATAGGTCTAAGGCTGTAGCCTATGTGACTCCATGTACTACTTCTTCTTTAGTGTGTGTTTGTCCTATTGCCCTTGACATTGACTGAATAAATAAACATGAAGTAGGGACATCTTTAAAGGATGTGGAAACAAAAGTGTCATTTTTGGACATTGCAAAAATATTTCCTTAATATCGACTGGAGGGCTGCAGATTACAGGACATTTAAGAGAAGCTAGAGAGAATACAAATGCTAGCTTGTGGTTGTTTTGTTATTCAGCATACTACTTACGCCTGTCTATTCCACTCAGATTTACATTAACCTGCTGCTTGGGAAATGGTGGGAGGTCAATTTAGATGCAACATTGAGACACACCTTTTCTTGCTCTCATTTTTTCATCTTTTTCTCTCTCATGCAAACAACCCACACGCATATGCAGCTCATTCCCAAGATGCATCAGCATGCGGACAGCTCCATCGCCATCCCCAACCAGCAGGAAGTGAGGTCATAATGAGAGCCAGGTCAATATGCTCATTAACCCCTGCAGTGTATCTAGATTATTGGAACATCAATAGGCCAGGCCTGACTGGGTCTCTGTTGCAGCCGTCACAATGTCTATCAAATCACAGCCACTCACAGCGGTCCGTCAGAGAAACACGGCTTGATGCTGACATTCTCACATCACTCAGTGAAAAACAACATACAAGAAGCAGAAACATGTTTATGGTTTTCAATATGCAATCTGACTAATTTCTGACATGACAAGACTGACATGGCATGGTAAGGCATAGCAGGCAGAACAGGCTGTTAGCTAAAAGCAGACAAGCATTACATCTAGCATCAAAGATGAGAGATAGGGCACCATTGGTATACGTACGTTGTGTTAATGAAGTTGCTTTTCTAAATAAACTTAATATAAACAACATATTTGTGGATCAAACAAACGGACTTGTTTGTCCACTGATGAGCTAACTGCCCTCTATGATACCTAAAATGTCAAAATATCCACGAAGAGTCTGACTACATGCTCTTCTTTCCTTTGTATTTCAGTTTTATTTTTCAGTTGTTGTATTAATTGTGTATTTTGCATTTAGTAGATGAGATTAAATTACATTAGATTCAACATTTTTGTCTAAAGTGACTTGAAATGAATGCATTCAAACTCAATAGGAAAAAGCGCTAGATGTCACCAAAAACTGGAAATACATCCCTCTCAAAAAAAAAACTAGGAATAAAAATCACTATTTAAAGTATTAACAAAGCATAGCTATGCAAGCATGTTAAATTGGCTGTTTGACTTATCAAACCCAAAACACAGACTTGGGATTGGGAAAGCCAAACTGGATAAATGCGCAGCTAAAAGCATCCCCGGGGGTGCTGTGGCAATGCAGGAGTGGTTCCATACAAGAAAAAGAAATGGGTGACCCGCAAGGTGGCACTGTGTGAGGTACTGAATTAGCCAGGCTATAGTCTGTGGTGACCATCCCTTGACTCTGTCAGTCTCGCTCATAAGCTTTTAATGAAATGTTTTTTTCCTGCATTTGTTGTATTTTTCATCAGAGCACCCTACAGTCTAGTTGACTCTTGACCTGTTCCCAAACTCAGCCTCAGCCTGCACGGTGCCACGCCCTTACCTTGCCAGAGTCAGGGCTCACATAGAGGTCAGAGCTGGATTGGATTGGACAGGGTGGCTGCCTGTCAAACAGGCGGTCCAATACCTCGATCTGCTGCGGTGAGAACAGCTCCCCTCTCATCTGCTTCCTGAGGAAGTCCCGCCCACTGTGGCCATGCCCGTTGGCCAGCGGTGACTCCTGCAGACCTAAGACAGGAGAAAGGAGCGAGGTTAGAGGGGCTGTAGATCAAGGATATTTAAAGGAGGAGTAAGAGAGTGAAAGAAGAATAGGTTTAAAAAGAGGGAGTTAAAGGAAGTGTTTGTGAGTCTACTATGTAAAACAGGCCGACAATAATACAGGCAGGAGTGAAGGCGTGGGTTGATAAAATGAAGCACTGAGGAAGATGTGGAGAGAGAAGTTTGAGCAAAGTATGGACTCAAATGAACCCCAGTGAGCTGATTTAGGACTGAGTGACTTCATAGATTGTGGAGACTCTGAGAAAATGCTATACAAATGCAATCCATTACCAAGCATATGCTGTCTCTCCTTCTTGATCTCTCAAAAGTACACTCTTGCCTTTCATATATACACACTTCTCCGTCCCTCTTGTCGTATCACCCATACACACACAGACACACAAATATATATTGCTGTGGTATCAGTATTAGACTGTGAGCTCTCGTATCCTGCAGTTATTGCAAGGCTGAGGGACTGAACGAGACAATTATAAGAACTCTGAAGAGTCGCGGCCCACAAATGATTAGAAAGAGAGAACGAGAGAAAAAGATAAAGAGAAAAAGGGGATGAGGGTGAAAATCCCCCGCTATAGAGCCAATTCATCGCTCCAAACCGCTCCTGAGAGCCTATTTTAGTCCTGGGGGTCACTGTGTGTTTGGTGTGTGTGTGTGTGTGTGAGTGTAAGTGTGTCCGGTAGCAGGGGGAGTGATATGACAGACAGGTGGAGATGGAGAAGGGGCTTCAAATATATATTTTTTTCCATTTGAACTGAAAATACAGATCCATTTGCGCCAGACTGTCAGACAGAAAAAACGAGTGATGTAGCAAGAAAGAAAGAAAGAAAGAAGCCATATCAACATTAAAGAATAATTCCACAATATATTTCCCAAACCTGAAAAGACAACTTCACTAATTCAGCATTGTACTCCTATAATATTCTCAGACTCCTGATGGACAGTTAAAGGAAAGGATCAAAACTGCAGCAGAATATATATTAAACTTTTTTATCCCACGGACTCTTTTTCTTTGTCAAAACCTGACACCTACATTACCCACAATGCAATGTGACTGCCAACAGGTCATAGATTTGGGTGTGTTATGCTTGTAGGCTAATGTAGCCGGCTACAGAGGTCTGGTAAACTAATTTCTTTCTTTTAACAACCCCAGATTTTTATTCTTTTTCTTCATCCTGTCTTTATCTCCAACTGACACTGACTAAAATGACATCACAGACCTGTAAACAAACTTTGCCCTTTAACACTTTTTAAGTGTGTAGTAGTTTGTAGTATATTTTTTTGTTTCTTTATTTATTTTCATCATTCCCTATACTTTAACCATACTGTAGCTGCCATGTGCCATGATATTGTAGAAAGAGAGAATTTTAGGAACATTTTGCAACATCGTCTAACATTGACATTCTTGTCAAAATATGGTTGAGCTGTCAGAACTGTTTAAACATGCTAATAGTTTAGTCAGATTATCTAAACCAGTGTATTTGGAGGTTTACACTAGGTCCAACAGACAGTTTGAGTATTAAATTTAATGTTTGTCTTTGTTTTCCCTCAAGTTTGGCTTACCTGGGGCTCTTCAGGCTGCCCGAATTTATTTTAGTTGTGTTGCTGCATTCCTACATCTTAGCGAATAACTCGATGTGTGCAATGTTATTATTACCGATAGGAGTGATGGGCAAAACTATTAACTTGACACCCAAGTTGTACTGAACGAGAATTATCCTTTAAATGGCTGTTTAGCATATTTAACTCTATACTACAATTCATCAGCTTTATAATACTAAAACTGGTTGCAAATGGTACTTTCCCAGTTTCAGGTGGAAACCTTTTAAAAAATAAATCTAGACCTGGTACACTGGCACAAGGAGTGTTTTTCAGTTCATTTCAAAGACTTCTAGTGAACCTCAAATCATGGGACAGCATCTCGCTGCTAACAAAAAAACCTCTCACACAGTGCTGCATAACTCACAAAACCTCGCTACACCTTTTCAGTACACAAAACCTCTTTCACCCACTCCCTCACAAACACACTGCTTGATCATAATCTCTCTTTCTCTACTATAGTCTCACACACACACACACACACTCATATACAGATGCTGGGAGCAGTGTGAGTGTATGGTCCAGGTCTCTGGTGACAGACCAATCAGGGGGGAGATAAAGCCAGTATGATGCTTTAGCCTGGTAACCCACGGCGACCCATTTAATCCCACCGGCCAGTCCCCATGATGGAATTCAATTGATCAATCATGTTCTTGGCACAGTCTTGGAGCGTTATCTACTCTCGTCTCATAGTACTACCTCAAACACCCACCGAAGTCCACAGCTCTCTACACATCTAACATGCATGCTCTCATGTGCTGTGGGGCTTGAGTGTAGGTCAGAGGTTTAGCGACCACTGAGATTCATACCTAGGTATCAGAATGACTGATAATAAATTCTATTCAGTGCAAAAGATGCTCACCTGGTGGTGTCTACCCCCTGCAGACACACACACACACACACACACACACACACACACACGACCATGCACTGACACACACAAGCATGGTGACAACCATCCAACTTCAAAGGTATTTGGATTTAATAATTCAACTGTTCCGGGTTGTCAAATAAATGGCAACGGCAAGGCCGAGTCAGGGGAGCCGGTGATGGAGAGAGGGAGAGCGAAAGGAAAGAGAGAGAGAGAGAGAGAGACAAAAAGAGAGAGACAGAAAGCGAAGAGAGAGGAAAAAGGCAGAAAGGCAGGAAACAATAAGGGCTCATTTTGTTTTTGTTCTGGCTCTGAAAGAGGGAAGAGAACGTTTCTTCTGAGACTGACTCACAAGAGATATAGAGCAGCTGTGAGTGTGTATGTGTTGTTCGTGTGTGTGCTTTGCACTTGTGTGTTTGTGTGTGTGTGTGTTTGTTGGTGTTGATGCGCTTGTGTGTGTATCCGACGTGAATAGATTTAACCCGTCACCGGCAATGAGTTTCTTTACCCATCCATGGATAAATGAGACCAAGCCGATATCAGCTACCACCCACACCAACTCCATCACTAAGAACACCCACCATCCACACTAAGACACACACACACACACACACACCACCTACACACATTCATACAGAAATGACAATATTTGATTATCATCAAATAAAGCTTTGTTCTTACTGCTCGTTACAGTAGGTTCTGTTGTCTCCTCCCCGTCTTGTCTTCTCTGGTCCTTTTGGGGCTCCATCGTTGATAGGCTTGGGTCAGTCTTTCAGTGTGTGTGTGTGTTGTGTGTGTGTGTTGTGTGTGTGTGTGTGTGTGTGTGTGTGTGTGTGTGTGTGGACAGAGAGAAGCAGAAAAGCAATAGCTGGATGAAATGGTGCCATCAGAGCTAAGACTGACAGGTCATATTTGTGTGTTTATGTGGTGGTATGGTACGGCTACAGAGGTCTGTAAACTTATTTCTTCTTTTAAAACCCCAGATTTTTTTCTTTTTCTTCATCCTGTTTATCTCCAACTGACACTGATAAATGACATCACAGACCTGTAAACAAACTTTGCCCTTTAAAACTTTTTAAGTGTGTAGTTATTTTAGTATAATTTTTTTGTTTTCTATTATTTCATCATCCCTATACTTTAACCATACTGATAGGCGCCATGTGCCATGATTATTTGTAGAAAGGAGAGAATTTAGGACATTTGCAACATCGTCTCTAACATTGACATTCTTGTCAAAATATGGTTGAGCTGTCCAGAACAGTTTAAAACATGTAATAGTTTAGTCAGATTATCTAAACCAGTGTATGTTGGAGGTTTTACACTAGGTCAACAGACAGTTTTTGAGTATTAAATTTAATGTTTGTCTTTGTTTTTCCTCAAGTTTGGCTTAACCTGGGGCTCTTCAGCTGCCCGAATTTATTTTAGTTGTGTTGCTGCATTCCTACATCTTAGCGAATAACTCGATGTGTGCAATGTTATATTACATAGGAGTGATGGGCAAAACTATTAACCTGGACACCCAAGTTGTACGAACGAGAATTATCCTTTAAATGGCTGTTTAGCATATTTTAACTCTATACTACAATTTCATCAGCTTTATAATACTAAAACTGGTTGCAAATGGTTTACTTCCCAGTTTTCAGGTGGAAACCTTTTAAAAAATAAATCTAGACTGGTACACTGGCACAAGGAGTGTTTTTCAGTTTCATTTCAAAGACTTTCTAGTGAACCTCAAATTCATGGTGACAGGCATCTCGCTGCTAACAAAAAACCTCTCACACAGTGCTGCATAACTCACAAAACCTCGCTACACCTTTCAGTACAAAAAACCTCTTTCACCACTCCCTCACAAAATCACCACTGCTTGATCGATAATCTCTCTTTCTCTTACTATAGTCTCACACACCACAACAACACCACTCATATACAGATGCTGGGAGCAGGTAGGTGAGTGTATGGTCCAGGTCTCTGGTGACAGACCAATCAGGGGGAGATAAAAGCCAGTATGATGCTTTTAGCCTGGTAACCCACGGCGACCATTTATCCCACCGGCCATCCCATGATGGAATTCAATTGATCA